CCACCGCCAGGAAAGGAATCGATTCATAAATATTTTATACATTACCTTTTATATTATTATTATTATTATTAACGTACATTAACTACACAAAGTTTTGTGTTTTCACTTGTGGGAAGCAATTAAAGTTGCCAAGCGGAGGGGATCAAAACTTGTCTGAGCAATATCAAAGTATTTAAAAGTCTTCGTTTATTCAATGAGCATTTTGGCCATGATGTACAATATTTACCAAATGGATAGCTCACCTTTCAAAATTTATAATTTCACTAAGCCTCGCATGAAGTACTCAAAGACTGGCCTATATTACCTTTTCTGCTTATTGATCAAGAAGCGTAAATTCTGTCTTTTCATTTTCAATTCTCGGGCAATATTTGAGAAGGCCAAATGCTAGTTGACGATTTTCGATAGGTTAGAATTTTAACAAAACAGTGATGAGGTAGTTATTTAATATTTTCTTTAAAGATTAGTTGAGGGCCGACGTCTACAACTCCAAATATACGCTTTTATAATAAATTCTTTTTTAAAACAACATAGGATGGACGTTCAACTTTTTGAGGTCTTATTGATCGAATACGAGAATCGACAATTGGATTAAACGGTAATGCTTAGACTCAGCACTAATATCTCAAAGTTTCGCCAGTGGATATTTTTCAAAGTTACATATCTTTTAGAAAATAACAACTCTGGAACAAATATTTTAAGTTGAAATTTTCAGAAGTTGATCTATTACAAGTAATTTATTCTGATTACTAATGTATTTAGCTTAATTGTCCCCCTTTAAAAATTCTTAATTTCTTAATAATACTATTTTATATTTTTTAAATCGAAATAATGACTATCAAGTAATTAGCATATCTAAAACCGCCCTCTTCTCTCGAGTAAATAATAAAAAAACAAAATAAAATATGTACGCAAGTAAAACATTTTGACTTAAACAAACATTTAAGTGAATCCATGGCACACTTTCAATCAAAGCTCATATTGAGAGTTTGCATCGTTAAAACAAAGTTAATTTTATTGAATTCTCTTTCTTTTAGTCCATATTTTAGAGTAAACGGATTTGTTTGCCTTCTAAATAGTTGAGAAGTTAAGTAAAGACCACTGCTACCCAAAACTAACAAATTATCTTCTTTCAAAATGTCATCATTTCTTAATATCGCTCGAAGTAGGGGGGGGGGGGGGGGGAGGGAATTTCAGTGAGTATTTATATACGTACTTTCCTTTTAATTAATATAATGGGTAAAAAATTTATCGGAATGAAACAAGACTTTTGATAATACATCCACAATGTTTTTTTTCTTTCCAAGAATCCGTTAAACTATTGCAGATTCAAAGGTAAAGCAATTAATTAGTATATACTTAAAAAGAGTAATATGAGACTGATTGTTAGTAGTTTCTAAATGGACTCGTTTCTAGTTAATTAATGAAATTATAATAGAACTTTAATTTTCATTTTATAATTCATTCATTAAAATACTATGTTTTTATTCCACTGCTGTTGATTGGTTCCGAGATGTGTTATGTTTGATCTCAACGCATACATTTTGTTGCACTGTATTAGTCCCCGTTCTTCTTGCATAAGGAGTTTCGCCTGAGGCTTTTGTGAACGAAGAACTCTGAAAATCGCTTCTTTGAATTTTCTAACTACTAGGCGCTAGATGCTTAACTTCTTTCCAAGCATCAATATTGGGGCATTGAGAATTGGTTACTAGCAGAAATCTGTACTCGAATAATCAACGGATATAAACAGGGCAAAAAATTGAAAAATAATGCATAGAGTCGAAATACGATCTTTTAAGCTGTTTCTGAAAATGGATCTTAATAGTTATTTTGAAGAAGTTATCAAAGGCTGGGGTTAATGACATCAATGTATAATTGTTTGCAAGAGGTTAATTTACGATATTTTGTCAAATTAAATTGTCATGAATGACTATTTTGCTATCTAAATTACTACTTTAAGATACTATTGCTTGTTGAGAGCTTATCATCATGCCTATATCGGCTGCAGTATTGAGGTTCCGTAAAAAGCTATTCATTGCCTGCAATTTCAATCATCTTTGCACTTTATTGCCAACTCTTGCTAGAGTTCTGTTGACACAATACCCCCCCCCCCTATCCTACGTCTTACTAGTTTAACAACTTCGTATTTTGTGTAGATAGTATTTTACCCCTTCCATAACATTAATATAAGCCATTCAATCTATTACTTGAAAGCTGTACATTTTTTAATCCAATTAGTAATATTGATACGTTCACTTCATAAGTGAATTTATAGCTATTAATATTGAACAACAAGAACATACATTATTGTTTCTTTAAATATTACTAATAATAATCACTGCGCCTGATCACCCTTTCTTAATGTAAACTGAAACAGAAGATTCAAAGGCTATTTCCCATTTAGATTATTATTGATTATAGAAGTAATATCAAATACATTGTAATTTGAGACAATGATCCTAAAACGCCTATAAAATATCAGTAGAAAGGATGAGAATTACAAATGCGTATGCTACTACTTTGTAAAAAATGACAAAAAATTCATTCTCTATATGAATACTAAATGTCTAAAATAGAAGTTTGAAGTCTTGAATTTTGTTTTCAATGTAAAATGTGAAATAAAGCTAATTTTTTAAGTCAGACAATTTGTAAATATTTTCAATAAAGTGAACAAAAAACAGTATCTTGAAAAGTGAGATTGTCTGAAATTTAATCAAGGGTTGAGAAAAAGGCAAATCTTGTGGTACATTTGATATAAATAAAGTTACTTAATACAATTATTAATAGGTTATGAAGAAAACGAATGTATTAGAATTATTTCAGTATGCTTTCAACAATATATGTTACAAGTTTTAGTAGTGAGGTTGATAACAACATTTATTTTTTATCATTAAAAAGGCAAGCAATAGACCAATTTGAGTAAATTTTAAGTGAGTTCCAGTAGGGCATTAAATAGAAACGCTTCATTGCAGGCTACATTTTAGTTTTGGAGTTAATTTGCACTGCCAAGATCACAACAGACATTCGAGTTGTCAAATAGACTAAACCGAAAAAATGAAATACATACAACTAGTAATCCTCTTTGCTGTGGGTGAATTTAAATCTCAAAATTAAAAAATGCGTATTCTGTCCTTTCATTTCCTATTTTAGCTTTCAAATAGCCTTTGATTGGGTAGAGTTCGATAATCAGAATTATTTTCTGAATTCTGAAAAACAACTCTTTAAATGGAATTATAGCTCCTAGTGGGTTTTAAAACCCAAAATTTCAAGTTGTATTAAAGTTTTTGTAAATGGGGCACTTTGAAGAATGATAAAGAATACGTTTTCACTGCCGATCAAATACACAATTCAGATTTTGACTTCTGAATCTTCTTTGTTTGAAGTAAATTCTCTTCTTAATTAACACAAGAAAATTGACATTAATCTTATTAGATATATGCACAGATAGTTTCTTGAATAATCAAATTTTTCCAATCTAAGTTCAATGAAATTTCCCCTTCAATGTCGTTATTTGGGCTAATGTTAACATGTGTGCTGTGTAAGAATGCGTCTTAAAAATAGTATAGGGAAGATTTGCCGAAAATGATGTCCATACCAATAACTGCCAGGTATACATTCGAACTAGGAATTCTTATTTAATCGTCCTGCATTTGAGAAAGTAATATGCTTCATTTGGATAGGATCAAGCAGATATGTTAGTTAAAGTGAATGAACAAAAAATAATCATATAAAGACATTCAAATCAATTTGATCCAAGAAGGCATCCTCTAAATTTAAACTTGCGTCTCTCATTGAGTGAATTACTGCACTCTTGATAATTTTATTTTGTCATTAGCGTCTCACTGTATGAGTAGCAGAGTATTTCATTAATGCTAGAAAAAATTGAACTTAATAGTAGGAGGCGCCTAAGTAAAGACTTTACATTAACTTTCAAAATGTTATTTGATCACTTCCTTAATCTAGTTACAACTCCTTTTCTATGATTTAATTAAAATTTATCTGGCAGATTTCATTTTCTCGTTACTTTGAAATTGAATTGATTATTGGCAGGCAAAAAATCACTCTAATTCTTACATTCTTAGTGAAACCTTTTATGGATTGCAACAATTAATCTTAATTTAGCACATTCTTTTAAGCTACCTATTTTGCTCCCAACGTTTACTAAACAATTACGGAGGAGGTACAGAAACATCCAACCAAGACATTTGGCATATTAAAAATTAATAATAATCAATTTCTCTTCTCTTTCGTTAAACTAAGATGTAGTAATATTGATATAGATTACCCTAAATTATTTTATACAAAATAAACTTATAGCTGTGCTACGAACAGCAGGGAATATTAAATATCGTTTATATTTCAAAGTTTAAATGAAAACTTTGGCAAAATTAAAGTTGTTAATGAATTGATTGATTACCGGTTCTTAACAAGTTGCATATAGTCTTTTATATTTTATTATGTTCCTTTCAAATTTATATTTAGATCAAAATGTAAACTTCAAATTCGAAAGGCATTTAAGATTTGCAATTGGCGCAAAAAATATGTATAGGAATGAAGTTATTATTCTAAAAGCTCATATTTGTAAGTTGTCATAAAATGAAATTCCATGTAGCAGAAAATTATTGAGTAAACTTCGAGTAACTTAGACAACTCAATTGTTTGAATGTTGCAAATAATTAGATTTTAATTTTTAATTTCTTGATTTCACTTACTAGGATGGAGATAAAGAACGCATGCTAAAATGCCTCAAATTTTTGATTGGCTGGGAAAATTATCCCTACCTTGTTTTCATTGGCTGATGTAGAAAGACGAAAATGTTGATTATGATTAGACATTCAAGTACACGAATGTCTAGAAACGTGACAAATATCGAAAGTTAAAATACACAGGGAAACATATCATATCTACGAAAATTCTCGTTTTCTTATTGGCGCTATGACGATTTATCGTGGACGCTGGCTGACTTAATTGAGGATTTTTTAAAGATTATACTTTGACGCAAAATGCAGCGAATGATTGAGAAAAGTCTTCGACAGCAGCAGTGTGAGCAAGAAAAACAACGGAATGCTGTTAATCAGCGGCGAAGAGGAATGCTGGAAAAGATGCCAAGTGTCGTCAGTGACGAATCTAGGGAAACGGATGATTATACAAGGTTATAAATTTATTTGATATAGATTTATGCTTATGCCTTTGAAATCTTTTATCTTTTTCTCACCAATCTTAAGAGAAAAATGTTTATATCCTGGTCTTTTGTTTAGAAATATATTTAATTATGCTTTAAGAAGTATTGCTATTCAAGTCGAACAGATTAATGATATGCGAAAGCTTTGATTAATAACTGCAGTTCTTGTATTATCCTATATTTTTAATCCATCAATAATTCAATCCAATGTTAGTAGGTTTTTTGGAATCGATGACGACATTTTCAAGGCCATTATAAAAATGATAGTAATAATGATTATTACAGGATATTTTAAATTAATTATTATGTTACCTAAATTTAGGGCACTCAGAAAGCATTAATTTGAGCAAACTAATTGTTGCTTCAGTATTTAAATAGAAACTATGACGGTAGCTGAAATGTTATAAAAATTTGTGCTCTTTGATCTACTACTATATGAATTTAAAGTCGATTTAGGGTACACTTATAAACATTACTATGGCTGCGCCTTGAAAACCACAGGAGCCTTGGTTCTTAATTGTTTTATTTGAGGACTGGTTTATGACTTTCATGTTAATGCCCTAGGACTATCAATTGACCTAAATTGTAAATAATAATTATGGCAGAATGTAAAATTTCTCTTAGGATGACAAATTAAGTTTGAAAATAACAAAGATTTAAGTTTTGACATTTTATAGTTGTTTCCAAGTATTGTATGCCATATTTAATGATAATAATTGAGATATTTCATTCTTAATGGTCAGTAAAATTCAATTTGAATTGCTCAAAACTTGAATTTTTAAAATTTGAATCATGTATGGTGATTAAATTTACTAAATGTGTTTTTTTAAATTTTTGGAGGTTAAAAGAAGGTTCATGGTAAATGAATTTGTTTAAATTTCATAGTCGTATTTTAATCTTAATGCTGCAAAATTTTCATATTGTAAAATTGACCAGTGTCATATACAAGTTTCATTTCATGCGTTTATCAAATATTAAAATTCTAATTTGAATATGAGAAATCTTTAAAGTTTTAGAATTAAACACTTTAAATTCTATAATACAGATTTTGATGAAACTGAAATAAAACATATCATAGAAAACCATAATACTATATATATATATATATATATATAGCACGAAAAATTGGTTAATTGTAACTTTAATTTTGAGAATAATTATTGAATTTGCTCATCTGTGAAGCTGCTGTACTATTTCGTCTTTCCGTAATGTAATGAATAATTTATGTATTAAGCCAATTACCGAATACTTCACAAAATTTATTAAGCATATTGTGTTCAATATATGCATATTTGTCTATATTTAATCGTAAAGTCAATATTCACAAATTGCTCTACATGCACTTATGAGGCCTTGCCCAATTGAGCTTACTATAAATAACGAGCTGCTCAATGGACCATAATGACTTTGTTATGTTTTTTATGTTTATCAAATTGCATACTAATTGACTTTTTCGCTCCAATATATATTTAATAAGCTCTTTGGATTTTATCGACACAGTTTCTTGGAGAAGAAGGTAGATATTTAAGGATATTTGTCTTCAAGTAATTTTGCAATTATTCATATATGGACTTTGTTTTATTTTTGAATGCTTATTCTATGCTTCATGGAACAACGGTCCCACGCATTGATCTTAAATAGGTAATATATTTGCTATGACACCAAATTGTATCCTATTTTTATTTTATTACAGAACTATATTCTTAAATGTTATAATCTAATTATTCACAAAACTAACCACCAATCCCCCGCATTCCGATAAATTTGTCTCCCCCCTCATGCTTTGCCTCTATTCAAGCCTAAATTAATTCGTTATTTTCAAAAGGATAATGGATAAATCTTATCAAAGTTAATTCCGATACATGCATTGCGTAGTATTTAACTATTCTTTAAACAATAAGTTTAAAATATTTTTTTTTGCCTATGCACGTCTAGTTCTATTTACCTTTTGAATTGATTTTAAATTTGCCTTAAAGCAAAGCTTCAAGAGGTTATAAGTTCTCGCCAAATTAGTGCCAAATTGTTTTAAAAATTAATGTTAGATTGATTATATAAATGATTGGCTAAAGAATCTCTAACTTTAGTGTCACAAATTAAGTTTCGCAATGTGCACTTAGTTTTTTCTATGTTGGAATAGAAAAAAGTTATAAGATGCTGAAATGCTTATTTAAACCCTCTACTGATTTAAGGAACTAAAGTGCATTATCAATCGATAATAAAGACCAAGATTTAGTTAAAATAATTTTTCAAAATTTATTTCAGCAAAGTAATGAAAAAGAGAGCTTTTTCTTTCCTTTAGATATAACTACGAATTGGGCTGGGCAAATAGCAAAGCTTTTATCAAGCAATTAGCAAAAGATAATACCGACCCCTCCCTCCTCAACGAGGAACTTCAACGACACGCTGAAAACCGACGACGTCGAAGGTGATTGTCTTTTCGTTTATTTTAGGATTTATTGATTTTATGCTTTTTAAAGTTTAAAAAATAATAATTTGCCGTTTGATTTTATTAAAATTGGAACTTTAAAACCATTTATAATACCTAGAAATTCGTAACTAACTAACTCATTCGAAACAGAATACATATCGCAGCATTAACCTCATTCTTAAATCACAGAAGCTGGCATGATAGAAATCCCATGAGTATAATTGTTCTCTAAGTGAAATTGTAAGCAAATCCCAATGCATGGACTTAATTTGCTTTATAAATTAAAAATCAGCTTTCAGCAATTTGCAATTAAGAAACGTATCTGAAATTTGGACTTTTTACTTTGGTGAAATGAAAGATTTCAGTTCAATATCCTGTGTGCGTAATATCACAAATTCAGAACAATTTGACTTAAGTGAAAAATTTTAATTTTATATAAGTAAGAAAATGTTTGTATTTTAAGGGAAGTTGTTTTTAAGGAATTGTGTTAAAAGACATTCCTGAATTTTAAGTCACAATATATGGAAGATCTTTACTTAAAGCGAGTTATTCCCAATAACTTTTGAAAGTTACAAACTAAAATAAGTAAATTTTAATAACGGGCATAATCAGTATTGATTAACCAACAGAGAAGCAAAACTACACTAAATAAGCCTTTATCAAATATCAACTTTAATTTATCGTATCAACCAATGACGTTTTATATAATAAAGGATAATTCACTACATTTTTTGACATTATTCGGAAATATATTCGATTTTAAACTTAAATAATTTATTGAATTAATTAACGAAACAGTAAAATGGGCTTCAAAAAGTTGAGGACAAACATCAAAGCACAGAACAAAGCCTTTTATTCAATAATTACCTACCAGAAGCCTGCAAATTGATTTTGCAATAATGTACTTTAAATTTCGATATAAATAAACTAAAAAGTTTTAAGCACTGCGACAATTAATTTAAATGTATTTTCAAAAAATACATATTTTAATGATTGCAATTCAAAACCATTTCAATTGAATTAAAATAGTAAAATCTACTTTTGCACCGCATGGGCTCGTCTCAATGTTTGAGGGAGATGTTCTAAGTCTCTCATATCATTATAAATGTGGTAGAAAGAAATTTCAGTTGAGAAAAATAGACATTTCATCTCTCCCTTTCTGTGACAGAAGTTAAATTTTAGCTTTAAACGAAAAAAGCTCTCGTGCGAGCATTCGACATTACATTTCGTTTGAAGGACGCTTCAATTCCTGAAGAACCAGTGAAGGTTCTTTATGCGCTGATACAAAACCGTTAAGTGGGCAGAGATGTCGTAATATTTCCTTTTGCTATTCCAACAATATAGTATATATAGACGTGGTTCTCAAGTAAACAAACTCGTATGGAGTGTGCTTTTTTTCAATAAATAAATCTAGATTAATATCGACGAAATTTATAAATCCTATAACAGCTATTAAGTATCCAAAGGAACTACTTCAAATGTCAACCGAATGAGACGAGCAAATACATATTCAATACTTTGGTTCCCCCCTTAGAGAGATTCGATGGAATTTGTCTGCAAAATGCATAAACTAGCAACTGGACAGAGGCCAGTGACGAAGTGTGCGAAGCATGTAAAGTAAGACCGAAGATGAACTATTTGCCAGAGGACGCAAGTACCTAAATTTCATATCGAGGCATTTACATATCTAGAGCGTTAGTCATATTCAATAGTGATTACCTTCTTGAAGTCTTTGCTAAAACCTGGAACATATTTAATTCTGCCTCCTCCTCCCAGTTGGCGCGCAAAATGTCTTGGTCGCTTTCGCAGTAACATTGCTCAAATCCTACTCTGCATACTTGTTCTCATCGACTCAGGAATTGTTATTACAGAAATTATTTTGGAAATTCGTTCCATTCAAAGTAAGTTCAGCCTATTTGCCTTTATATTTATCCATATTCTACTCAAATTTAAACTAATTTAAGTATCTTAACAATTTAAACATATTTTAAAACCCTTCGACTACTAGGGTGCATCTTATATTTTATAAGACCATCAAATGAAAGTTGCATTTAAGCCATGGTCTCAATAGTTTACTGCAATTCATGGAATTGTTTTTTTTTAAAATTAAGATGCAATTTAGTAATTGTTTATTCATCTCTTTGAAAATATATTAAAATTGAAAGTCGTCGTAGTAGACACGCCGTTAGAATCCCAAATTACATACTAATGCTTAAAATTTAACGCAGCTTTTTGAACATAATTCCATTAACTTTGATTTAGACCACCGGGAGAAATGAAATTAAAAGAGGAAACTCTTGCTCCACACGCAATGAATATTTAACATTTCAAATTGGCCTCATAAATCAAAGTTTGAAAAACTGCGTTCATTTTAGAGTTTAGAGGAAACTATGAGTTACGTAACTCGAAAACTCCAGAGACTAATTTTCCCATTTTGTTTTAGATTATAAACAGTTTTTTGACATTCATGCTCAACGTCTAAATTACATTATGGCCAAACAGAACTCTCAATGGACAGGATCGTGGTGCTTACCGACTGAAGTTGTACGAGAAAGTGAACTCAACATAACCACTAAGAAACGTCTTTATATGAAACAGACTCATCACACCATCATTCAACATGGCAGCACGATCATGTCAGATGAAAATCGATTAGCAGTCCTTGAGGACTTTTTTGAATGCTGGAGGACCTATGTAGACGATGCCGAACAGACAAGACTAGATGGTTTGTATTTTTGCACCTAAAAACGATATTAATTTAACTCCATATCAAATTGCTTAATCTTAAATACAGCACAGATAAAATCAAAGGCTTTATGGCTAAATATATAATAGGCAATGGAGGATTTTGCACACAGATAGTTAAATCCATTTTGCATCCAGACGCAGTGAAGTAAAAAAATAGGGAAATGTTTTCCTCTTTGAAAAAGCGCTAATCATTTCCAATGATCAATAAAACTTACTTTATTGTTAATTGAAAAAATTCCAAACGCAGAGTAATCAAAAAATCACGTTCAACAGTTTGTGCTGCATAACTTTCCTAAGGGCCGTTACTGAGGTTTATGATCAAGTTCTTACTCTCCATGTCGATGACAATTTTGATTTTAAAGATTTAAGTAGGATAATAAATGGTTAAATGGTGAGCCAGAATCAAGAAGATCCACAAATTATACTGATGACTTTTAAGGTCCCTGCTTGAAGGTATCATCACAGGAACTCATGAACCTATAGACAACTGATCAATTATAATTGAGGCTCATCAGTAAATTGATCAGGTTGGGAATTTACTGACCATCTCACCCAATCCCAGTATAACAGAGGTTAGCGGAGCAAAGATGGCAGTATCAACTTACAGTAGATCGTTACTGGGTTTGAGAAGCGGATCGTTTATGACAGTAACAGTTGGAAATACAATGGTAGTTCCTAAATTAAACTCCCTTTTCAACCCATTTAGTCAAGATAGGATCCCGTTGCCAACTTTTCCGAACCGTGGAACACAATGTAAAAGATAATTCCAGAATTCGAATGAGGTGATAATTCGCTTAGACTATAATTGTAATAAAGTGGACAGGTCTTTACGCATAAATATAATTTAACATCGATTAATTTGTTTTCATATACATAATTTTAGGATAAATGTCAGTCACCTGTTGTTTGCACGATTCACAATTAATTAATTCATTTTATCCACAATGAAGTCAAGAAATGCGGAATGTCTTACTATAAATGCCCGATTTGTTGTGGCTAGAAAATCGTCACTTTTTAATTTAATATTTTTGTGTGCAATCTGTAATTACATTCACTTTTTGCAGTCAAAGTTAATTTAACTCCGACTGCGGTGTCTCAAAGAGAATTTTTTTCTAAAATAGCAGCATTCCATCTTTTTTCGTGCATATTAAACTATCTTTATAAAAATTTAGATTTTAAGATAAATTAAAGCATATAAGTTTTGCAGAAACCTCGTGTAACTTTTGTTGGGAAAATCATAAAATTTATTTTGCTGAAATGGGTTTACATCTATATTTGATTTAAAAAAAACAATTTCGCGAAATAGCTTCCGACTTATGATTATACCTCTTGAAAAAACCTTATTTTTCACATTTTAATAGATTTAAAATTCATTGACCAGAATATTTGCATTACCTAATTTCGTTAAGAAATTTCTCGATTGATTCCGACAATTTGTTCACACCTTTCTTCGCAAAAAAGTAAATATAAAATATGGGGAAAATACTATTTACATTAAATATAGACGTTTACTCAAATTGTCCCAAGTTTACCAAATTATATATTTTCCAGTTTGTATGGAATGAGTTCTTCGTAAAAAGCACTTTGAATAAGAGTTGAAATTGTTCTTTGTAAATATAAAATGACTCTCATAGGTTTAGCTATTAGTCAAAAAATTATGGCTTTTAAAATGGATGGTATTTTGCTTTTTTAAAAAAGGGCATTGTTTTTGTAGTAAAAAGTGTAGATCAAGGGACTAATATTTATGCAATCGTTAAAAATCCAAGTCAATAAGTTAAATTAAAGTAAAAGCAAATTTTTGGAATTTATTACAATTCCATACTAACATTCCTATTTAAAAAGCGTGAATAGAATCTGAAATTTATTTTCCTATTGTCAGTGTTTTCGTCGATTTCTTATTTCTTTAAAATTTCTGTTCGTGAAAATATTTTAGTTTTTCAAGATAAGTAAATTTACTTTAGAAGGTAAATAAGGCGTCAATTAAATTCGTCGAAGCGTTTTGTTAACTACCCCAAAGTTGAAATTTAAGTCGTTGTGATATAAATACGATTCGGTTAGATTGCCATTTATATTTATGTAAACTGGCAGAAATACTATTTTCTTCCATTTCATTGTGTTATTAGTTAAAAAAATGTTAACCTTATCATGCATACTTCGAACCTCCACATATTAATGCTTTTTAATCTGCTAACATTTTAACCTTATCTATAATGCCTTTTCTCCGTTTACTTTTATAATGATAAATTGGATTGATGCGGTTCTGAATATATATATATATATATATATATATATATATATATAATAGAATGATCATAATGAAATTAAACTGGCTAGATAGGCCACTAAAAATATAATTCCATATGCATATTTTCTCATTGCTTTCAGTAACTGTTGCAGCAGCTATCACCCATGCTGAAAATTCCAACTGTATGTGAGATTTCAGTTTTTTGTTGATGTCTGCGTTGCTCAAGTATTCTCATCTGATAAATATAGTCAATATGTCGGCGACACTAAATCTCCGTTCAGTCTCTTCTTCCCATCTTTGTGGTCGATGTTCTAGAAAGCGTGGTATAAATTTCCTATAAGGATTCTTCAACTAAACAGTTCACGCTCACACTCTATGTCTACTTCCACTATGCATTGAGCAATTTTACTCATCTATTTGTATTAAAAACCATGGATTTTACAATTTGTTCAATAATAAACTCAGATTTGATCGTTTTATTAAACACACTAGGTCAGAAACCGGATCTCTGTTTCTGTTATTGTGTTGAGGGGCCTTACTGGTGGAAAGTTTTGGTCACTCATTCTCGGCTGCTGTACAGTTTGAGCAACATTGTTTATCGTTCTTTATCATTCATCCCCTTATTGACAATAGTAAACAACCGTGAAAAAATAATGTATTCGATGGGTCTTTCTGAGTTTATTTACAATTTTAACTAAAGACACCTTTATCTAAGTCTCTAGAACAAGTCAACATTACCAAAACCTTGGTTTCTCATTGACACTTCGTGTCTCTCAATAATGCATCCAGTTGCCTTAAAAGAGTTTCTTTCCCTAAATATTTAGGAGACCAGTCTGAAAACGCATAAAAGCAAACAAGAATAATTCATTTAATGCCTAAATTTATGGTTGTCGTAACTCACACGATGAAACCAAAACAAAATTTATTCATGCAAAAGAGATTTTGTTATTTATGCGTTTTTAGGTTGTGATTCAGATTTACGGCAGCGATGCATCAACTTGAATAACTCCAAGATTCAGGAGCCTGAGACATCGGAAGGGAATCTAACAAATCCAGCAACTCTGCATAGGGCCTCCGAAGCCATGCATTATATTAGCATTGGCGTCACAGGACTTTTCATTGTCACAACTGTGCTGAAGATTGTCTGCCTTGGGAGAAAGTTCTTTTCAAACGTTTATGAGGTCGGTCTTTCAACCTAACTGCACTATATAACGTCTTAGTACAGTCTACTTTTAATTTCAATAGGTGAATCTTACGCAGCTTACAGGCCTAATACCAATATTAACTATTCTATGTAAATGTACTTATTCGAATAGCTTTACTCTTCAATTACTTACTTGAAACTGTCCAGACTTGTTTAGTATTGCACATGCATACTAGCAAAATACGTCAAAATGTGCAATGATGTAAAACATTTTGTAAATTCCACACATGATTAGCCCAACTAGTCAAATAATTTACCTTGATTTTATTAAAGGGCCGCAGAATAACTCTAATCCAGGTTCTTTCAAGCTCTTACCCACCATGAGTGTAAAAGTACACAGAGATAGCATGAAGTTAACCGATCAAGTTATTACAAAATTGTTTAGAAGAAAGAATCGGATCTTTCCATTTGTACTACAATAATAATGGAATGACCAATGATGTTTTGCCTGTGTCAAACTCAGGGTAGAATTTAAATAAAATTTTTAAAACATGTTTTGTTTTTTTCACTGTTCCTTAGGTTATAGATGCTCTAGTCATTCTCACCTCATTCATTTCGGATATTTCCTACATTAAACTCGACTCGCAAGAAATAGCAGCTATGGTTCTCCTTCTGCTTTGGCGAATCGTTCGTCTAATTAACGGTAAGTAGGTAGGTTATGCAGGTGCTTCGTAGATGAGACTCCTTCTTAATAATGTAATCTCACCTACAAGATAGAAGGAATTGTAGTTGAGTGCCAGGATTTTATTGGCGAAAAAATTTAAAGCAATCTGGTTAAGGAATAAAGGAAAAATTTTGGCTTAGTGAAAATTAAAAAAAGCATTAAACTAATTAAATATCCTATTAGTATGAAATGAATTTTCTAAAATATTAAAAATAAATCCAGCTTACGAAACGCTTATTGAATTTTTGTATTTTCATAATTAGAAAGATAGAGAAGTATTGATGAATGGTTGAATGAAATGAGCTTACTAAGCGCCCATGACAGAAAAAAAGCAATTATGAGAACAGTTTAATTATGAATTTCTTTTTCCAAGCACTTGAAAATTCTTCCATGTTATCATTTTTAATTTAAGCAAAATAATCTAAAATAAGAATAGGACATTAAAATCGTTAGAGTGTCTCATTTTATATGCCACCACTGTATTGAAAATTAAATTCATCTTCTTAGTTGGCGAGTAATGCGTTAATACTCTTCAACGAAAAATATTACCAAAAAATCAATAAAGTAATAGCGAAATAATCAGATAACTAAGCAAATAAGAAATCCAGGCTAACATGTTGTAAAGGTGGAAGCATTCATAAGTAGTGAAAAATAAAAGTTTATTAATTAATGCTTAAATATAATAATAAGATTAACAGATAGGAGAGACACTTTATCTTACCAGACTCACTATGGAAGTTAATATATCGCCCCCTTGGGTTCTTGATTTTGAGTTGTAAAGGTGTCACAGAACCCAGAATGTTCTGAATGTAAATTCATTGCATACTAATGGAAGGTCTATGCTTCGAATTGCATTAAGTGTGGTATAATAGGTGGAATTATAAAAAAATGCGAAAAAATATTTTCGTAAGCTGTGTTTTACCTCAATTTCGGGGAACGGCTCTAATTTTAACGCATGAATTATTTTCGACCTCGATATTATAGGGGCTTTTCAAATTTATAATTTTATAAAATGGTCACCTCTATTCGATGTCAATATATATATATATATATATATATATATTTGAGGTAATAAAACCATTAAACATAATTATAAACAAATAAATAAATATATTTATAGAAGGAGCTTAACAAAATTTTATCATCTAATTAGTAGTAAGGAAGAGATAATTTTCGGTTTTAATTAAATGATTATATGTTTCGTTTGCTGTAATAACCCGTAAACTCCTCCTCTATTTTAATTAAATTGATAAATAGTCAAATGATTAATGTCTATTGATAAAAATAAGTGGTATTTTGCTATGAAATTAGTGCTTAAATTGTAAACTTTGAATTTAAATGATAATGATAAAAAATTATATTAGCCATTTTTTTCTTTTTAAAGAATGATTCTAGCAAAACGTTTGGTTAAAGAATTTCGGATTGAATTTAATACACAGCTTCATTAATAATATTTCAAACTTTCACAACATAGCAATCATGGGTTTCACTTTCATTTTTTTTTATATTTAGCTTCATCTTATCTCTGCTTTATCAAAAAATTGACAAGTATTTCATTTTCTGCCTTACCAGATACCAACATATAATTCTTGAATCCAATCGATGCTCATGACATTTATTTTACATTGAAGTTAAGCCTATTTTATTCTTACTTCGATATTGTAGCAATGTTAATGTATGAAAGACAGAGATGTGAATTCCGGGTGGTTTTACAGAAACGTGCCCGACGACTGCAGGAAAGGAAGGTGGACAATCTTCAACGGACCAAGGAACTCCAAGAAGTAATTTTATTTCAGTTTAATTTCATTCCATATAATCTGGCTATCTGTTTTGATTTTTATAACGATTCATTTGCCTGCATTTTTAAGAAACATATCACTAATCTTGAGGAATTGGCGCGAAATATTGGCTGTTCGGAAGAAACCCTAAGAGACTGCAAACCACGATGTGAGTTCTAAATACAAAGTCTTGCAAAAGCATATTTTAATACATAAAAAACTAAGTTATACAAAAGGTGGAACAAATCGATTTGATTAGACAGCTTAAAAACTCAAATATTGCTTGCCGACCAGATTTAATTCTAGATAAATTTGGGTGCTTTGTTGTCAAATGGTCAGCAGCCAACGTCTTGATGCCCATCTTTGAGTTTTCCACCTATGAAGCAACAAGATGTTTACCTCTTACTCCAGTTTGTTCATTGAATGTATTCTTTTCAATATCGAGTCCCCATTTGATTGATCGTATTACATGGTTAACTGTGGGAAAGAAAAAAACCTTATGGTAAATCAAGTAATATATGAAGTACCAGGTCACCATTAGAACGTTAACTATATGGCAAATAAGTAGATTCACACTCTGCTAGAAATTTATTAACCTTTCAGTTTATATTAGAACAAATAAGCTATATGAATGTTTACACAAACCATTTAGAATTGCAATTATCCTGCCTCTATGCAACGTGGGAATGTTTGTTTGTTTAATCGGTGCAAATTCAGTTCGTTGGTGGCTTGGAAGAAAAAAGAGACCTACATACTGGAAATTTAATCATTTTCTCAAGGAATACATATCTTCTTTTTTCATTTCTGGACAAAATTAAATTTTTCTATATTACGATTTATCAAATATCAACTTGAAAAAATAGAAAGTCGTGATTATTTGTTAACGCATTGTGCTTTGCTATAGTTAATCTTATGAATTTCAAATGAAAATATAAAGTAAAATCATCATATATATATATATACATATATTGTCTGCAATGTGCTTTCCGCGGTATTAGTCGATTATTATGAGGTAGTCAGAAATCACTGTAGTTTTAGCCTCATAGCTAGTTTGCACTGAAGCAGTGTTCACAAATATTCATGGCGTGTTAACGTATTGAGGTATATTTTTTCAGATGTGTACCACTCAAAGGAACAGACCCAAAATGCTTTGAAATCAATAGCTGCATTAACAACTGGTTTCATGGGGGGTCTTGTTGGTGCCCCTTTCACTCAAAAGGACTCCATTGCTCGTTTCGCTACCAATAGTCTGCCAACTGCAAATCCTAACCAGGCAAGTCTTTTCTGTCCTACATGCATACCAATGATCTGTAAACACAAAGAAAGAGCATGAATAGTACTGTGCCAATATTCATTTATATCAAATGACAGGCATTATGATAGCTATAATTAGCCCTTTGATTGACTTTGGGTTTAACAGAGGAGAGGAACCAACAGAGTTAAAAAGTCGAGAATGGAAACAGGTGAGTAATTCGTAGATGTAAAAGAGAAAGACACAAAGGTAGAAAGAATAAGAAAAGGTGAGGACTGTGAACGGGATCAAATATGACATACAGTTGGGTCATGGTAGTTTGAAGTC